ATGCCAAGTCTGGCTCTCCTTTCACTACGCCTCCATGATTCTCTCTCCTCTTGTCTACCTTCCCAACAAATGCAGTAAGGAAATACAAAAACAGGTCTCTCTCCCTTTTGTTCCAGTCTTTTAGGTCCAAAGCAGGCTTCCAACCTCAGCCAGGAGCACCGCCCATTTCTTAGGACTGATTACAGACCAGCCCTGAACCTGGATAGAATACAGAAAGAGATTTTTTTTTCAGGGGGAAGAGGGGAATCGATGCTATTGCTGCCCACACTTTAAACCTAATCCTTCCTACAAGAAGAGATTAATATTCCACCTTTTACAACAGAATAAAATCATCTGGACGGGATCATTGTCCAATGAGAGGCAAAGAATTAAGTAATTTTCAGATTCGATAAATATGATCCTTAAGCATTCTGAATGCAGATGCATGCCAAGCTAATACAAACATCTGGTACCTATTCTGCCTAATTTTCAGCCCTCTGATTTCCCATATTACCCAAGATACTAATGAGGAACGTGTGTGCAGCTACAATAAATGTAATTATGAGGCAAGAGAGGAGGGAAGGTAATCATATAGCTTGGGACCAACCCATAACAGTGAGGGATTTTATTCGAACAACAACATTGGCTAATGTAGTTTCTCTTATGGCCCCAGAGGGAATTCTGCAATGCTGTCAGCTGCAAAGAGGGACAAACTCCCACAGACTGTGGGATTCAGCCTCCTCAGCCTCTTTTTCTGATTTTGAGCTGAAAATCCCTCTGGCCCCCATGGGATGCTGGAATCTACACCAAGAAGGACCCATCAGTTTCTCATCGACAACCCGGTCTAACTCTAATTGGCTTTTATGAGTTGGAATTTTAGGAATATGGGGATTTGGTGCAAAAATAAAAACTCTAGAAGAAAATGAAAAAGACAAAAAACACACCTGGAAGGGTTGGGCTGAGAAGTCCCTGGGGCTATACATACTCCATGTGCTCATGTTTAGAAGGTCTCAAATTACACCTCAGCAGTTCTACAGCCCATCTGGGATGGAATTTGGGAATGTCCCACTTTTAAACCATAAAAGGAGCCCCCTTTCCCATCCCCCACTGATATTTTTCAAAGATATCAAACATGGGCAGAATGGTGCTAGCTAGCCATGGCAGGGAAGTGAAAGGCGGAACATTCCTGAATCTTGCGGCATCCATTTCCAGGAAGAAGTAGTGGGATGTTTCAATGATGCAGCTTCTTAGAAGCGCACTCATCAACCTGCTTCTCTCCCCCGCCCTCCTAGCTTCCACTGTCTGAACCCAAAACCATTCTCTTGACTCACCACTACCCTCCCTTCCAAGAAGTCAAGTGTAGATATATATTACCATTATGTGGAAACCAATGTGTGACTGTGTTTATAAACTTTTCTGTTGTGTTTTTAAATGCTCAGAATGAAAAAAGCCAAGCCACTTTCACAAACCAGCTTCTAAAACCACTAGAAATTTCTAAACTGACATGTAATCTCTAGACAATCTGTTTTTTAGAATGCATAGACAACCTATGTGTTTGCATACATGTGCAAATATACACACTCACAAATACACACACACACACACACACACACACACACACACACACACACACACACACACACACCCCAGCAAAAGAAGAAAAAAAACCCAAGGAGTTTCAGAATTGGGGAATAATGACCTCAGAAGGCAGGTTGCCAAAGACAGCTCATCCTGATTGGAAGAAGATTATCCAGGCCTCCAGCGGAAGGGCCAAGGTGCCTGCCCTAACTCTAAAGGGAACAAGCAACAGAAAAAAGTACTTTAATTAGTGAAGACTAGCAATCCTCCTTGCAAAGGCCCCCAAGGCTGAGGAAGAGAGAGGAGTTGGAGACAGAAAAAGTCATAAAAAAGATGTTTTCCAGGGACTTTATTTTCCTACCCCCCCCAAAAAAAGTTTGGGCCCATGATTTTTTAATAACAAAATGAAGGGCAGGAAGAAAGGAGAGAATTGGGAACTCAACATTTTAAAAAAGAATGCTAAAATAAAGTATTATAATTAAATTTAATAATAAATAATAATAAAATGAAAATATTTGAAGATTCCACAGAAAGCACTTACTGATTCATTGATTGATTACTTCCTCAAAATGATTTGTGAAAATGATGCAAGAAGAAGGATTTTATGAAAAACTCTACTACGAGACTTTTATAACTAATATATATATGCTAAGGATGATTTGTGCAGGATAATTCACAAATTGCCACATCAGATAAGTTTCTATCAGGGAGCACTGGCATTTGAAAAAGACAAAGAAGAAGGATTCAGGGTCCTCTTTGCTTGTATTAAAATGCATCTAAATTCAGAATATTAAAATGATTTCACTACATTAGCTTATTTTCACATGCATGAGATAGGAAGCACAGATACGTAATCTCAAGCCTGTAATAGTAAAAGCTTTTGGTTTTGGAGTTGTTGTTATTGTTATTGTCGTTGTTCAGTATTTTCAACTCTTCGTGGCCCCACTTGGGGTTTTCCTGGAAAAGATACAGATGAGGAAACTGAAGGAAACAGGGGTAAGTGACTCACCCAGGATCACACAGCTAGTAACTGTCTGAGGCTAGATTTGAACTCAGGAAGATGAGTCTTCTCTATCCACTGTACTACCTAGCTGCCTCGTGTGTAATCATTTTTCAGTTGCATCCCACTCTTCGGGTTTTCTCATTTAGGGTTTTCTCAGCAAAATACTAGAGTGGTTTGTCATCTCCTTCTCCAACTCATTTTACAGATGAGGAAACTGAGGTAAACAGGGTTAAGTGACTTCTTTAAGGTCATATAGCTGGTATCTCTTCCAGCCCTATAATAGAAAGAGCATTCATTTTTTTGGAGTCGGAGGACCTGGGTTTGAATCCCAGCTCTGCTCATTAGCCAATTGTACAACCTTGGGTAAGCCACCTAACCCTTAAGATGTCCTTCTATGGAAAAGGAAGATGTTCTCTAAGGAACGTTCCTTGCCTTTAGTTCTTTATTTCTTTTCATTTCTAAAACCATAGTAAAGGCAGAGCCTAACTTCTGAATATTTACTTGTGCATGATGCATTTCTCTATATCCAATAACCACAGGAGCCCTGATTTGACATTCTTTCCTTATGAAGATGAGAGAGACAGACAGACAGACAGATAGATGGATGGGTAGATGGATAGATGAATGGGTGATGGATAGATGGATGGACAGATGGATAGATGGATGGATGAATGGATGAACAGATGCATAGATACACAGAAAGACAGACAGGCAGATAAATAAAATAGATGGGTAGATGGATGGATGGATAGATGCATAGATTTTTGACAGACAGATAGATGACAGATGATAGATGGATGGATGCACAGACAGATGATAGACGGATGGATGGATAGATGCATAGATACATAGACAGACATATGGATAGATAGATAGAGATAGATAGATAGATAGATAGATAGACAGACAGACAGAAAGAACCAGCATTTCTTAAGCACTTGCTATGTGTCAGGCATGGACCTAAGAACGAAGATACAAAAAAAAAAAAAGGCAGAAACAGCCCCTGCCTTCATGGAGCTCACATTCTAAAGGGGGACTAAAACACATATAGGGAGTGGGGGAGGATGGGAAAAGGTGGCTTGTGAGGAGTCCAGTGGGAATCCAAGAGTGAGTGGGGGAAGCCGGCCCAGAGTAGTCCCCAAGGAAGGAGTCACTAAGAAGATGGGGAGCCGTAGGGCACAGGTTTCTCCAAGGTATCAGTTGAGAAGGACAAGAGGTCCTGGGTAAGAGTCCAGAGTGTGTCCTTATAGACTTTGGGTGTAATAGGATAAAGAGGAAAGAAGATCAGAGGACCTGTGTAGAAATCTTAGCTCTGTTACCTATAACCTGTTTAACCTTGGGCAAATCACAGAAACCTCTTAACCTCAGCTTCCTCATCTGTAAAATGAGGGGCTGGCATAGAGGTCCCACTAAAACTGCAACCCTGGGATGATGCTATTATTTTAATAACCATATCTTTGTTTAAAAAAAAGTTTGAGTTGAACCAGGTGCTGAATGTTATCCCATGAAGAAGTACCATCACTGACCAAGTGGTGGGCAGCTCCTGGAAACACAGGCCCAGTGCCTGGGAAGAAACACACCAGCCCTAAACATGCAGACCTAGTAACTAGTAAACATTACAGCTGTCCTCAGATACAAGATCCTCGGAGGCAAGAGTGTCACCTATACCACCCCACTGCATTATCACAAGCTGAGCCACCCAGGGTGACCACAAAGAACAAAATACCCCTGAACCCAGTTTCCATTTATCCACGCACAGATGAAATTAAGCAGGCCTGACCCTAGCCAAGGGCAGCCAGGTGGCTCACAAGATAGAACACTGGGCCTGAAGTCAGGAAGACCCGAGTTCAAATCCAGCCTTAGACTACCTGTGCGATCCTGGGCAAGTCACTTCATGCTGTTTGCCTCAGTCTCCTCATCTGTAAAATGAGCCACAGAAGAAAATGGCAAACCACTCTAGTATCTTTGCCAAGAAAACCCCCAAAATGGGGTCATGAGTCAGACACGACTAAACAAGAATAATCACGATAGCCAAAATTTTTTTAAGGTGGCAAAGTTTATCTTTGTAGTGGAGAAAGAACAGAAGGTCAAAGAGTCAAAGGACATGGGTTCAAGTCCCACCTCTGACATTTACCAGCCATTAGACCTTAAGGAGGTCACTTAACCCACTCTGGGCCTCAGTTTCCTCATCTGTAAAATAAAGGGGTCAGACCACATTCCTTCCAGCTCTCACTTTACAATCGGGATCCTAAGAAGTCTGAGTTTCCCTTTCTATGTGAACTTTTCCTCTCTTTGATGCCCTCAACACTAACAAACTATTTCAAGTCCTCACGTTGTCCAACTTCCTGCCTCTATCAAAACAGGGAAAGCACGTGATATTGGAGAGGCCACTATTTCAGTGACAGTGAATCTGGAGTCAAAAATCTGGGAGTGGCCAAATTGCTCAATGACCCTTCAGACTCAGGCTGGTGAAGAGGAGAGATGGTAGCTGAGGAATAACTGGGAACCCAAGACCAGGATAGGGGTGATGTCAAGGGGAAGGTAAGAATATAGGACCCATGGCTATTGGAGAACTTTATCAAGGACTGCTGACAATCATGCTAATTAAACATATTGATTATATAACAAAATAAACAACACTAAATTAACAAATTTAATTGTTTATTAAACTAGTTAACAAAATTAATTTTAAAAATCTATTTTTTAAAAACTCAAGAACTTGTCTTAACGTGTAATTGGGAAAAGTAAAGTATTTTTTAAAAAGAAAAAAACTCGAGAACTGACGAAATGAGAGAAAAAATGCAGAAAAAAAGTTCAGTTATATAAAAGCCATATATCATTCTTGCCAAATATTTACCCTTCATGGCACAATAAAAATTATATAAAATTAAATATTAATATTATAAAATTAAATAGATTGTTATTAATTAAATCATTAAATATTGCATTAAAGATTAAAGCTGGGCTTGGTTAACTTTCATTGTGAGATTTTATTAAGGGTGATGCTGAGTCAGGAGGACCTGAGTTCAAATCTGCCCTCAAACACATAATACTTCATAGCTGTGTGACTCTGGGCAAGTCACTTAACCCCAACTGCCACACACACACACACACACACACACAAAGGTGATGCTGGGAATGGAGTCCTGGTCTTGGAGTAGGGATGGTTGGACTTCACTAGTTAATCTGCGCTAAAATCCCTTGCTCAGAGCTCTACATCTGCCGTGTCTGAACACAAAGGTCAGCCATCCGGATTTATCTCAGTTCAGTTCTGTTGCCAAAGAAACAGCACAGAGAACAGGCGGCTATAATCTTGCACTGTTTGGTGACACATTTTTTAACATGATAAATTCCCTGATGACAAGGTGCGTTGACTCCTCCACCTTGGCTAGAAGGGCTACGCTGCCTACAATGTTAATAGCTCCTCAGGCAAAGGGGTGGATTTTTTTTTTCTTATGAAACCATCAAAGAGAAATTTGCTAATCTGTTCTACTTATGACAGAAGAAGAGAATCAAAACTGTGTGCTCACTAACCTCACTCTGTTCCTCCTCTTACTATACCTCCTCGCACCTTATTCTAAGCCCAAGAAAGAAGCCAAGTTCATGGCAGAGACTGGGTTTTTGTTGGATTGCTTACTCATGAAGATTCTATTGGTATAGGGGACTCCCTACCAAGGTTTATGAGCACCTGCTCTGAAACCCAAAGTTAACCAAGGCTATGTAGTAGCAGCAACTCTCAACATACAGCCATTAATAGTAATGGCTAAATTTCCCTAGCTCCTGAAGACTTTATAAAGCATTTTATCCATTTTATCTTGTTTGAACCTCAGTATAGCTCTGTGAGGTAGGTCCTGTTACTCTCAATTTACAGATGAGGAGGGAAATTAATTGACTTGCCTACTGGACACACAGATAATAAATTAAGCTGGATTAGGACTCACATCTCCCGAGTACTCCATCCCACGGAGTACCAACTCATAGAGACGGTCCCCAAGCCTGGAATGCTCTACCTCCTCCCTTCCGTCTCCTGGAATCTCTAGCCCCCTTCAAGGGTTAAAGTCAGGCTTCACCTCTGAACACAAAGCCTTTCTTGCTATTAATAACCAATGTTCTTCCTACCCTCCTTCAAGAAATTGCTTTAGATTTGCTTTGTAAATGTGCTATATTTACTTATCTTGAAATGTAATTTTTCCCTCTACCCTCAATAGAATGCACACACCTAGAAGGTAGGGCCTCTTTCCTCTTAGTCTCTGTATCTGCTGTGCCCAGTACAGTGCCTGGCAAAGACTAGGAATTGGCTAAATGTTAGTTGAACTGAACTGAATTGAAGCCTTAGGTTCTGATACTTCTCGAGGAGTGTTTTCACAGCTTAACAAATCTGGGTGGTTGTTGTTTTTTTTACCTCCAGGCTAATTTTTTTAAAAAACCCTCTTCCAACCCACTTCATCGTTTTCCCTTAGCACATCCCATCCTCAAAATCCCTTTCACATTTTCAAAACAGCCTTTATTGAATCTTCGGGTTCTGAAGACCCAACTATTAATGAATCAGGTCCTCCAGAGGCCTTTGGTCCTGATGAATCCCACTCATAGAAACATCTGAGTCCAACCAAAGAGGTCATGTCTTCCACACTCTTTGCATTCAGAGCTCTAGGCCTTATGGACAGGTGGGAAGTCTTTTCATGAGATTACAGATGTTTCCATTTTTAAACTACCGATTTATATGCCAACATTTGATGCATGAAGCCAGAAGCCATTTTGATAGTACAGAATGTAACAAAGTGTATGAGAGACTTCACAAATTCAGTTTTTCAATATGTACCACAGAATAGTCCAGATCAGCATATGCAGAACTTCTAATATGGAAACTCCCTCCATCAATGTTGATCAGCAACTCTTCTGTAACTTACAGTTGTCAGGGTTAAACAGTTAAATGACTTACTTGTCTATGGCCACACAACTAGTATGTGTTAGGGGCAGCAGCACACTGCTTCTCTCCTCTGAAATAACTCACTGAAAATTCAAATTCCAACTTACTTCATCTTTTTGTAAAATTTATTTTATTTTTAATTCACAGAACAAAACAATTATTTCCATAACATAGCACAATAAAAAGGTGGTTGCACATGAAACTGCAAATCTACCATATATGACTTGCTACTCCCTCCAAATACACAGCATATTTATCATGTAACTTTCTCTTTTTTGTTTTTTCTTCCCTTTCCTCCCCCCACCCTAGAGATGGCTACCATTAAAAACAAGTAGGCATATATGCATTAAATTATTCTATACATCTATTTATCAGTTCTTTCTCTTCATCTTTAAGTCTACTTAGGAAATTCTGTGTTCTAAAGGACAGCAGCTTTACGAAAGGTAAAGTAAGCGGTTAATTAACTCAATCATACTATATTTATAAAAAATAATCTGCTTCTATCACACTATATAAAAGAAACTCTCCCCCACCCCCATGGGAAATTACTGAGAATTTAGTAAAAAGAAAATAATTGCTGTAAATGTTGTTTAATCAGCTTAATCTCAATAGGGTTCCCCCCCCAATAAAAATGGACTGAATGAGACCTGTTCAATGCAACATCTGCTAAGGTCTGGCGCTGGCCAGAGGTATGCAATGTGGTCAAGCAGTGAAAAACAAACATCTGTATCTATAAGACAAAGACACCTTTCAAAACAGATGTGCTGTCCAATGTTTCAAAGCCCAACTTTTTAAAAAGGCTGTCCCTTCACTTACTTCTCAGCAAAGTCATTTCTGTTTTTCTGGCCTTTGTGAGCAAGAAACAACCTCATGTGGTTACTTTGGAAAGGACTTTCTCCCAGTAATTTTCCACTTTGGACCAACTAGTTTCTCCCTTTTTCCTCCCAAATGAGATTCGAGAAACCTGGCTAGCAGAAGGAACTTACCTTTTCTAGCAGAAACCAACCAGCACACATATTTCAAAAGGAAGAAGCCTAGAACAAAATAAGCCCATTTTCTGCATACAAAAAAGGTCCATGTTTCAGGGCCCATCATAGAAAACACACCAAAGCTCTGCAGGACCCATGACTTAAAAACAGTGAATGTGTCACTTTGTCAATTCCTTCCTCCACACCTTTACTCACATGAGTCCAATGTGGGCTCACACCTTGTATAATAACACCACATCTGTGCCAAATGGACAGGAAATGAGATGTTCCCTACAACCTGAAGCTTGCCCTATGAAATGCTGAACTCATCTGATCTACTTTTGATGACCAACTTTCTCAAATCTGCTACACACGACCCCACTTCCTTAAACAGAACATACAACATAATTTATCTTCTTGGTGACACAGAGTAACTGTGAACATTTATTATTTACCGTGGGACCCACAGAACTGCAGAACGTGAAGCCTCCAACACCCACTAGCTATGTGACCATAGGCAAGTCTTAATAAACCATTCTGAGTTTTCTCATCAGTTAAATGGGATTTTTATACCTATAGTATACTAACTTCACACAATTGCCATAATAATAGCTAACTTTTATACAGGGTCTACCAAAAGTCTCGATGTAGTTTTAAGCTTTATATTAAAGTTTTATTAAAGCTTAAAGTGATTAAAGTTTTTTTAATGCCCTAAGACTTTTGGGACACCCTGTAGAGCACTTTAAGGTTATTTAAGGTAATTTACATGCATTATCTCATTTGATCAATTGTCTGCAAATTATTCTACAAACCTCAAAGTGTCATAGAAATGTCAGCACTGTTATTGTAGTTACTAATATTAAACCCTCTATTAGAAAACCCTTGAAGGCAAAGATGGTTGGCTATATTTTTCTCTTTCACCACCTGACATAATACCTTGTATACAGCAGGTACTTAATAAATGCCTGTTGAATGGGACTGACTATTGAGGAAATCTAAAGTCTTTTAGCATGCATGAGTTTTTGCAAGAGGAGAATTCAGACTCAACATTCTGGATTAACTCTAGCCTTCAAACACTTCCCACAGGTTGTTGATGGGAAAGTGTTTGTATCCATCCCTGCGCAGGAATCCATTTTGAGGGGCCCCATCATGGAGCTGCCACATGAAGCATCTTGTTCAGGTGACAGATGAATGGATTCTTGCCATGCCACCAAAGGAAATAGGAGGTTGCTCTCAAGGATGAATTTCAACTTGGGAAGTTGATTTTATAATAATAATAAAAAAAACCCCACAATCAGTGACTCTATCCCAGAGAATTCCCTCGTAGCTCTAAGCTGAACATCTCTCCTTACAAAAGTCTAACATGAAATCCAAGCAATTTTTCTACGTTTACACAGTCATCATCCTATTGGGACCCCAAGTTGGGTGAGGAAATACTTAACCTCAGAGCTGTTAAAATTTCCCTGAATCAAGATAGCTAGGGTTTTTTTTAAGTGCTTTTCAACAGTGAAATGTACTTCCTTTTCCCCAGAGATAGCCCATAAATTGTTGTGGATTTTAACCTTCTTTACCGTAAAAGGGATAGGAAGTCACATGGAAACAATGAATGGAAGTACACTTTTTAAAAAAATCAAACAAGAACAGGAAATATTGGGTAGTTTATGGTAGAAATGCATATTGAAACAAAAGGGAAAAAATAAACCCTACTTTTCTCAACTCCAGAACCTTCAGTAACACCCCCAACAGGCACACAAGCCCAGCTCCCATGAGATAATCCCACCCTAGTTACAAGGAGGGAGGGGGTTGGTCCAGCTTTTACATTTGTATTTCCTACAATACCTTCTTACCGAATGAAGCCCTGAAAGGACAGCAACACATGCTTTATTATGTTGTTCAAAATCATTCATAATAGACCTTTGAAATATTAAAAACAATTAAGTGAGGAAATACTAGAAGATATAAAAAAAATGATTACAAGGAGCCAAAAACAGAGCTTTATTTATTTTTACATCCAAATGAATAGGCAGGTCCAAACCGGCCAATAAAACAACTAGGCAGGCAAAAGGAAGCAGGCATCTGGATTCCAACCGTCCAAAAGCAAGGTCTCCCCAAATCGCCGCACTCTCCTGCCGATCTGGGAGAAATCAACGTTCAGCTAAACAAAGTCACCACTCCCCAAACTCAGACTGACCCTGATGAGGAGAAAAAAGAGAAAAATTCTGTTTCCTCGGCCCCAGACTCTCTGCCAAAAGGCAGTGTGGTTTAGTAGACGGGGAGCCGGCTATGGAGTCCAGGAGACCCGGGTTCAAGTCTCACTTTGGATCCACACTGGCTATGTGGCCATGGGCTCCATTGTCCCAAGCAACTTTATAAGACTACAAAGGCAGAAAGTTATGGTGGAGAAGGCACTGGATTTGGAATTAGGAAGACATGGGTTCAAATCCTACTTCATGTTTGCTAGTTGTGTGCCCCTGGATAAGTAATTTAACCTCTCCTTCCTCAGTTTTTTAATCTGTAAAATGAACAATTTGGATATGAGGGCCTCTGAGTTCCCTTCCAGGTCTTAATCTATGATTGTGATGCTCAGCTATATACAGCAGAGTTATGGCTCTGCCATCAGTGGTGAAGGTTTCCTACTCCCCAGTGAAACCAAAGCTTTAGAACAAAACAAAAGAAAAAAATCATTGTTATTCAGTCACGTCTGACTCTTCATGATGCCATTTGGGGTTTTCTTGGCAGAGATACTGAATTGATTTGCCATTGCCTTCACCGGCTCATTTTACAGATAAGGAAACTGAGGCAAACTAGGTGAAGTGACTTGCCCAGGGTCACACAGCTAGAACGTGTCCAAGGTCGCTTTTGAACTTGGGTCTTCCTGACTCCAGGCCCAGTGCTCTGTGCACTATGGCGCCACTGAGCTTCCCCAAAGAAAAAGTACCTTACAGTATTGACCAACTTTTAGTTTAACAAATTCATCAGTTAAGAACCCAAAGAAGAGACCAAGGCATTAATTAAATGAGTTAACACATGGAAAGTGCTTTGCAAGCCTTAGTGTGCTAAATAAACATTAGCTATTGTTATGATTAATCACTCAAACATATATTCTCACTGTAATAGCTAATATAAGTAATATAGAAAGAACCCCTTTAGGTTAGCTCCTATTGTAGCTAAAGAAATAAATACATAAGAGAAGAATCTGAGGGCTATCTTTCAGAATTCAAGCCTTATGTACAAGAGTAAATATTGACCAAAGACCAGGGAATAAATGGATTGTGGTGGAAATACTCAAGTTCTATTCCCAGCATGCACTGCCTGGAAAACCAGGTCTGATAATTAAGTTAAAAGAGAATGGACTGGATCAATCATGTCAAATTCAAATAGAAACCAAGCCATATGCTGACTTAGAAAGCCACAAATTAACATGATCTATGTTGTACTATATTTTTATTTATTTTGTTAAATTTTTAATCTGGTTCCCCCCACACTCTGGGCTTGGGCAGAGTTCAATGTCTTAGTGCCTTTCCAATTCCATTATTTCATGAAGAGCAGCTCACTTTTACCTAGGCCTTCCCCTTAACAATCTTGTAATTAGTTTAGTAGGGGTTATAATGAGGAAAAGGAGGATAACTGATATTTAAGTCTGCAAAGCACTCTGCATACATCGAATCTCCTTTTACAAGTAGGGCAAGAGTTATTATTCCCCTTATACCCGTGAGGAAACTGAGGCTCAGAGCCTTTATGATTTCTCCATGATTCAGAGCTTCTTACAGGGTTGTAGATTTAGAGTAGGAACAGCCATTAGGAGTCATCGAGTCCAACTTCTTCATTTTATAGGTGGGGGAACTGAGGCCATCCAGCTCAACCTCCTCCTTTTACATATGGGGAAACTGAGGCACCACGAGGAGAAATAACTTGCCCAGGTGACACTGGCAGTAACTAGCAGAGTCGAGGTTTGAACCCAGGTGCTAACTCCAGGTGCATCCTTCTTCCCACTCTACATCACAGGTGGTAGATTTTCTCTTTTTTCCCCCGTTACTCTGATCCAGTGGCCCTAGTGAGATAACTCATCCCTTACAGTACTTAAACTTGTGAAATGTGTCAATCAGTAGGACTGGATCCCCCAAAGCCGAGGCACACCCATGCTCTTCTGAACACAGATACCCCAAGAGCCAGAACAAACAGCATCTCAGGGAGAGAGCAAGAGGAGTGTAGGCCGAGAAAATAGGTCAACAAATGACAACAGATTGGTTGCTTAGGAATTAAATAAAAGGCAAAGAAAATAACCTATTTTCAAAGTTCAGCTCAAGGCTGAATTCCTATCAGTCAACCACCCAAGGCCAAAGCCCACATCTTGATAATACTTTAAACCTCGGGTTTGTCTTTGAGAAAACATTTAACCACGGGTAGCAAAATAAGCGTGAATTCTCTAGTCGTTTTCCCCTGATCTTTATGGGCCCTGCTGTCCTTCCTTCTCTATCCACCGATTGCTAACTGCCCTGCCAAGCCCAAGTGAACGCGTCAATGCAAAGTAATAATAACAATACGTCTTCTCTACAGACTGCGCTGATCCAAAGATCGGGATGGAACCTTTTTGTTTTTGCTTAATTCCAACCAAAGATGAAAGGGACAGACAGCAGACAATGTGCTAATACAGCCCTGTGGTTTTTGGAACCACTAAACCATGTTGGATATACCTTAATATGATCACATCTAAGAAATCATTAGGGCAGCTAGGTGGTGGTGTAGTAGATAGAGCTCCAGGCCTGATGTCAGGAAGACTCTTCTTCCTGTGTGACCTTGGGCAAGTCACTTCACCCTCTTTGCCTCAGTTTCCTCATCTGTACAATGAGCTAGAGAAAGACATGGCAAACCACTCCAGTGTCTTTGCCAATAAAACCCCAAATGGGGTCACAAAGACTCAGACATGATTTACAAATGACAACAACAAAAAAAATAAATCATTTGTTTTAGGGCAATGGGCCATCCTGATTCCCTCACCATTCATCTCCTCTCCCTACCCTCCACTTAATTTTTATTTTGGATGCTATTTTGTATATATGTTGTACTTACTCATCTGTCTACATATTGTTTGCCCCCAGTAGAATGTAAGCTCCTTGAGGGCAGGGATTGTCTTATTCTCATTTATATATCCCCAGCAGCCAGCATTGTGCCCATTATACAGAAGTTAAAATAAATGTTTGTTTAGCTGAAAGTCAGTCAGGAAACAATCATTTATTAAGTGATTATTAGGCACCCAGTACTGGGATACAAAAAACAGCAAAAACATCATCTTTGCCTTCAAGGAGCTCACATTCTAATGGGAAGAAGATTCTATCCATACTCTATCCATAACAAATAACTCTATCCATAAAATAACTCTATCTGTAAAGGATCTATGTCATTGAAATGGAAGTTAATAAACTGAATTTCAGTAGTCAAGACAAGAATGATCAATCTCAGGATTAGAGGTGGAAGGAGCCTTAGAGCTCATCTCATTCAACCTTGTTAAATTACAGGTGAGGAAACTGAGGAACAGAAAAATGACCTGAATTGCCCGAGATGAAATTACATCAATGTATGAGTGAAATATTAAGATATCTGTATTCCTATGTGTACTTTTAAGACCTCCATACAATGGGGATGGAGTTTGCTTTTAATTACACATTAGAAGCAAAGGATCTGTGATTTTATCAGCATAAGGAACTCCCATTACTGGAATTCCTTCCACCAAAGCAGATTACAGATGTCTAAGACTTAGTAGAGATGGCCAAGGGAGTTGCCTTAAAGACATTTTGATTGTTATTTTAATGTTTTCGGTTAAGAGAGAAGCTGGACTATTTTATTATCAGGCTTTTCTCAACATCTCTACATGTAATGGGTATTCTTGTACCAAATGGTTTATGACACAAGGATCCAACTGAGATTATTTCAAAGTATTTTATAAGCCCAATACACCCAAGTCCTGCTCTGATGCCTCATGGCTCGGAGGTGACCCTGGGTTCTCAAAGGCTTTACAAGCAGGGTACAAACCATGGCAGACCCTCCCAAGCTGGAAAGGCTTCAAGAACGATCCTGGCAAGAAATTGTGCTTCCGTCATCCAAGGACCAGCCCGGCCAAGTGCAGCAAGACTCATTACCATGTCAACTGCAAGGCGACAAATTTCTCAGCTATATCATCTCTCAAAAGCTGTCTACCGAGATATAAGATGAGGACATTTGTCTAACCACTGGACTTCAATGACTCTGTAAGAGAGACTGAGGCCAACAACTTCATGCAGTTCTGAAATCTAATTTATCAGCGAGTCA